TAATCCACATACGAATTCCACCAACATCTAGCACTGTTGGTGAAATTCAGATGACGAAGGAGGGGAATGGGGCAGGCATAGGCCACACCCCCAGGCGCGATCGCACGGGACCCCGTGACAACCTCATTCGGCAGGTATCACCTCATCCTCCCCAGCTCACACGTGAGCACAGAGAGGTACAGCAACTTTCCCTCCGTCACAAAACAGAAGACTGACCTCACAAGACACTGTCTAGTGGAGAAGTCACTAAGTGAGGAGTCATTAAGCTAAACCACCAAGCTTCACGTTCTCCCCGTCCAGCTGGCAAGGTGAGTGAGACGACGTGCAAACTCCCGACCCAGGAACCCACGGCCGCACACCAAGGGCTGTCCGAAAACGTCTCCAGTCACCTCCTCTGGGATCATCTGTTCAGTTAGAAGAATTCACCTAGTTGAACGGGTCACACATCTAGAAGATGACGAGGGAATGCCAACGGGCCCCGGTCTCTCCCTAAGCTTCATGCCCCTACTGAAAGGAACTACCAGCACTGCAGTAGAAGAAGCAGGGGGAGGGCTTTAGGGAGAGCCAGATGCTCGCTACACTCCATAACAGATGGTCTAAAAATTCAATGGCGAAGAGAATTTGCTGGTGGTCAAACCGAACAGGCTCACTATTAAGCAGACAAATGCACACACTGTACCCTCTGCAGCCAGGCCACCGTCCCCAGACTGTACCCTCCACAGCCAGGCCGCCGTCCCCAGAGCCACAGCCTGAACCACACCCCGCTCCACTTGAACTCCAATCAGAAATCCAAAACCAATCTTGCTTTTCTGCATTCCGTGGAAATTATATACATTTGGAGCATTTCCTCTTTTTACATTTTTCTCTAGACCTTTTAAATACAGTCAATGAGCCAACCATCAGGACAGACAGTTCCTTAGTCAAAATATGAAGGGCCCCTGGAAAGGACTAGCTGTCTGCCCTTTAAATGTGGAGCCGCTCCTGCTATAAACGGCATCCACGGTCCACTCTCTGGCCATGACCATGATGACCAGCCCTGACCAGAAGCACCCTCCTGGGCTGGCCCACCAGGAAGACACAAAAAAAAATGTGGGACCCTGTCCTTAGGGAACTTCCCACCGGATGAAGAAGGTAAGGGTAGCAGACAGAAACAGAAAGCGCTTGCCAACGTCAGTCATTAAAACCAGCAGTGACTGCGGGGGTGCCTGGGTGGCTCAGTCGGTTGGGCGTCCGACTTCGGCTCAGGTCATAATCTCGCGGTCCATGAGTTCGAGCCCCGTGTCGGGCTCTGTGCTGACTGCTCAGAGCCTGGAGCCTGTTTCAGATTCTGTGCCTCCCTCTCTCTCTGACCCTCCCCCGTTCATGCTCTGTCTCTCTCTGTCTCAAAAATAAATAAACGTTAAAAAAAAACAAAAACCAGCAGTGACTGCGAAGTGTGGGTGGTTGAATGGCTGAGGCAGGTGACCAACCAGGCCCTCCCACACAGTCCCTCAACGCGTCTGGGGGGGCCAGCGCATGCTTTTCATGGGGGAGTAAACCTTGAGCCTGCCAGCTACTGTCCCACAGCCCCTGGGCCCTACACCTGATGCCAAATCATTCACACACCCTCTGCCACTTCTACACCAGTGAACACGATGGGTGGGAGCCAACCAAAGTCCTATTCAGAGTTCCACCAACTGTGGGCAATAAAGACTGGGAAAGTCTGTGCAGAGACACAGAGAACAGCAAGGGATTCTGGGATCCCGTGGCCCAGGGGCTCGAAATGGCCCCAGGTGAGCAGGATAAAAGCAGAAGGCCAGGGAGCACCGCTGCTTTCCCAGGTGTGACAGAGACCTGGGTAACACTCATCTAACTTTCCTCAAGTTGCCTCCATGAGAAACAGCCACGTGCCCACACATAAGGCCAAGTGAGGACAGACACTCAGGCCTCCTATCGGGAAACAGGGACAATGCTTACCTGGTCAGGGAGGCTGAACACCAGAGGGTACGCGTGGAGCAGCCCCAGGATGGTGAACTCAAGGAACCGTGAAGTTCTAGGTTCGGGAGAACCCCCGAGTCATCTTGTCCTAGATAGTGGCCCTGGTGACACACGTCTCCAGGCACAATCAGTGCTTAGGAGAGGCACCTGTAGGGCACCTGGGTGGCTCAGACGGTGAGGCGTGCCACTCTTGATTTAGGCTCAGGTCATGACCTCACAGCTCATGAGATCGAGCCCAATGTCAGGCTCCACACTGACCGCACGGAGCCTGATTGGCATGGCGCTCACCCAGAGGAGGTGAAAACTCCCATCCGCACAAAAACCTGCACACAGGTATGTATGTACTGCAGCTTTACTCATGATTGCCAAAGCTTGGGGACAGCCACGACGTCCTTCAGCAGGTGACAGATAAATTAACTGTGGTCGATCCCCACAATGAACTAGTATTCAGCACTGGGGTGCCTCGGTGGCTCAGTTACATGTCTGCCTTTGGCTCAGGTCATGATTTTGTAGTTTGTGAGTTCGAACCCCACGATGCCCTCTTTGCTGACAGCGTGGAGCTTGCTTGGGATTCTCTCTCTCTCTGTCCCTCCCCCACTCGTGCTCTCTCTCACTCTCAAAATAAACATTAATAAATAAATAAATGTAGATAAAAGAAAAAGAAATGCTCCATCAAGCCATGGGAAGCCACACAGGAAGCTCAAATGTGTGTTACCAAGTGAAAAACGCCGGTGAGAAAAGGCTACACTGTAGGGGTCCAACTACATGACATTCTGGAAAAGGCAGAACTGTGTTAAAAAAAAACAAAACACAGTTATCTGGGGCTGGGGGAGAGGAGAGGCTGAATAGGCAGGACAGTGACACTACTCTGTGACGCTGCAATGG